ATTAAAAAAAATAAGCATGGAAATTTAGAACTAAGTTCAAAGTAGTTTTTATAAGTAACGATTAAGTATAATGAAAAATAAAAATAAAATATTTATAATAAATAAGAAGTTTTTTGTTATTTAAAAATTTTTAAAATTTTTCAGAATTTCTATTACAGCTCATTTTAGTCTTTTCAGATTTAAAATAAAAGGTAACTAGACCTACGTACATATGGATGTTGTATAATAATTATTAGTACAAAAATTTTATAGGTACCTACATCTTAATTTTTCTTATCCGTAATTCTTATCTACAGGCGTGTTCTTTTCACTTATATTTAGGTCTTAAGCTATGTTGTACATTATACATAATATATACATATGTGCATATCATATTTTATTTTTGGTTCTTTACATATAAAAAATAAAAGTAAGTATGTTATAAATAATATATGCGTATTATTACATAAAGAATTTTTTATGTTCCACTTAACAGCTTCATAATCAAAACCAGGTAATTACTATTAAAAATACAGTTCTATGTTATATATTCTTCTATTACATAATATTTTTAAACCTCATCCACTTTTTCTTTTTTCTTTTTATTTAATTTTCTGACCTTAAATAAAAATATTATTCAAATATGTAGGTATATGCATCATAAGATTATTTCTTTTACCTCTTTTAACGCGAAAACAAAACAAGAACAGTAAAACAAAAACAAAAACAAATGCTTTATAAAGGCAACTCTGAATCTTTTCCTATTTATTATTCTTATGCGCAACTCTTATAAGCATATTTTTTGTTTTCGTCTCTTCAGATTCTAAAAATAAATATAAGTACGTTATAATAATAATAATATGCGTTTATGTCATTGCACCAAGAATTTTTTATTCTTATGCGTAATTCTTACATGCATGTTCTTTTTTCTTCTTTTTACCTCTAATAATTACATAACCACATATCATCTTTATAGAAAAATAAATTTAGCTTTCTATTCTTTCCTGATATCCCATTACATAAAATATATTTTCAATCTATATTAGTCGAGCAATACACGACCTCGACAGGTAAACAACATTCTGTAAACAAGATTAATGACCTGTTAAACCAGACAACTCCTCAACTCGTAACTTAACTTCTCAGGCCAACTTCCTAAAACTTCTTACTTCCTAAAAAAGTATAATTAAACTCGTATCACCTATATACTTCAAAAGGTTCCACCAAAACGCAAAAGAATGAAGCTTCGTTCGATATTTATATTATTTACATTTATTTCATGCTTTATTTATTTTAATTTAAGTAGCAGTATCGGTTAATATTATTTCAGTCAAAATTTAGGAAATATTTTTTTCTTTGAGATGTCAAGGTTAACATATACTCGTAATAATAAAAAGGTTAACATATACGAAAACTTTAGTAAAAAGAAGTTTGATTTAAAAAGTTCCAATAGATAAGTAACAATTTAGTACTTTTCATTAATTATATCGAGATTTCTTTTACATTACTATTACAATTATAGGGGACAATATAAGGCAGGTTATGTGATGGCATAAAATTTCTTATATTGATATTATGAATTTAATAAATATGTGTTTATTACACTAATAATTTTAACTTAATGGAAATTTCTTCATGCAACTGCAGAACAGATGGATGACGTATTCAAAGAAACGAGTTAAAGGTAGAAAAATTAATTAAAAAATTTTTTTCCTCGAACTGGACTCGAACCAGTGACCTACCGCTTTCTAGGTGGACGCTCTACCAACTAAGCTACAGAGGTATGAAGAAAATGCCGACCAAATGTTCTTTACATTGCTTATACTGTAATCCACATGATTACTAAGTATTTGTTTACATTGACTGCTACATACAATCTACTTTTTGAAACACACAATCACAAGAACATATATATATTAATAGGTATTGTGCCTATTACACTAATTATTATATTATGAATTTACTAATACAACATATTTGTTATATTGAGTTTTCTGTGAAAAAACATTTTTCTATAGCAGAGCAGCGTAAATTAACTACATCCTTTTACTATAAAATTTATATATGAGTTTACTTTGATTGTGTTACTTTGACATGGTTATCGAATGATCAACTTTTAAGTACATGCCGGCCGCGTGAACTGAACCTTTTAACAGACCATTTTTGCATTTTTAGTTGTTTTTAAGCAAATTTTTCACAAATTACTTTAAAAAGCATGGGTTTAACCCAACTTTATAAGATTAAAAAAAATCGTAAAGAATCAGATATCAAGTTCGCATTACTTTTCTCTCAATATGATTGAGAACTTCTCCCAAAATTTCAAATGAACTCAAAACTCTTCAAAGGGCCGTTTTTGTGTACCGTTGTGCTATAGTAACCAACCTCTGTTTTTTGTAAAAAAAAATAATAATTATGCTTTAAACATTTTCTCACTTTCGATTTTGTTAAACGGTTAAGTTAATAATATATTATAATATTGTCTATTGAATTTTTTTGGTAACTGAAATATAAATAAAATTTTGTGTGCGCTCGGCGAGTAATATATAGAATTTTAAAAATCAAGAAGTGGTAATTTAATTTTGTTTGCACAAAATATTCTATTGAAAGTTTTTGCTATTACTTCTTTGTATAGGTAGTTGACTTTTTACGAATAGTTACATTTTAAATAAAAAACGTTATTTGCTTTAATTAATAGTTATTTGACACCACTATATGCGATCTAATATCATCCTTGATAATAAGTCAAACAACCTAAATTTCTTTTTAATTTATCTAAAAATTATAATAATATAGCGTCAAAATTTATGATGAAAAGCCTGAAATACTTTTTAAAACAAAAAAGGAGTTGAGGAAATAAGAAGTCTTGTTTGCATTTCGTCGCCTCAGAGTAAGTATGTATGTATATGCAGGTAAATATTAATATATTCGATTTTACTGACAATAATTAACTCCGAAATTTGGATTTGTGAACCGAAAGATAACGTATTGTTTGAAAGAGAATTATTATTTTTTCATTATTTTACGTTTGAAGTAAATATAAAATACATAAATAGTCTTATATTGTTCATGAAACATACAATTTTTTTTGTCTATTTTGTAGTATTCAGTAGGAATGTGCCATCCAGCTACTTTGTAATATTCTTTGTAATATACTTTGTAATACTCGTTATTTTACTGATCAATACTCATTACCTTTCACTCGTTTCTAAATGCTAGAAAAATTATTTGCAAGGTTCTGTAAGAAAATTTTGTATCTTGGGAGCCAGAGAAGTTGGACAAACATAACTTAAAAAACATATTCCTGAATACAGACCCGCCCGACATTGCCCAAAAAAAATTTTCCATTTCTTAGAACCTTTTAATTAACATTATAATATAATAACCACACCTATACAACAACACATGAATCAATTTTAGTATGAATCTGTCACATTCTGATTATCTCATTAATTATATAACAAAAACGAGAATTGAAAAAATAGAGTTGAAAAAATAATAGAACAAAAAATAGAGTTGAAATCTGTAATACCCGTATGAATTGGTTATCCTATATGCGAATAAATACGCCATAACTGACTATGAGACAGACTATGACTTTAAGTTGCCGTATTACCTACCATATTAATTTATGCAAAATTTCTGTACTGTGTTTTTCAAAATACTGTGTGTGCCAAACTCCTATTGAAGTTGTATTGCAGCTACCAGAAAAAGCCAAGCAATTTCAACGCATTTTACTAAACGTATTGGTTCTACTAATATATTTGTTTGTGTGAAATTTCAATATCACAGCTTATATAGTTTCTGAGATATAGCCAAATAACTTTTGATGTTGTATGGCAGGTATCAGAAGAAGCCAAATAATTTCAACGACTTTTATGAGACACATAGATCCTACCAATATATTCGTTTGTGGAAATTTCAATATAACATCTTTTTTAGTTTCTGGGATATAGCTAAATAAATTTTGAAGTTGTATGGCAGCTACCCGAACCAGTACCTCGATCATGTCTAATTTAAAAAGGGTTCTGGCACTTACTACCATAAATCCTTTGTGAAAAATTGGTGAAATTAGCTCAATTAATTATCGCTCTGACGGACGGACAGTCACAACTTAATCAACTCAGAATTCGACGCTGATCAAAAACATACACTTGAGTCTATCTCAGACCATTATTTCATAGCGTTACAAACGGTAAGGCAAATTTAGTATACCCTTCGAACACACGTTCGCACGGGTATAATAATACTAATTAATACTATTTACATTATGTGACAATACCAAAGATTATGTGCGAGTACTGAGTAACAAGTATTTTTGATCTACGAGGAACCACTTACTTCGAATCCTCGAAGTAACGAGTTTTGTAATAACGAGTAGTTAGTATTCGCACGTAACTACTCTTCCATAGTTTAAAGCACATAACTATTGGATTCCTTGATCATGTATAACGTTTTAAGTTAGACTTAGAAAATTTGAAGAGAGAAAATTTATGGATAGCACTATTTTATTTTGCAATATTAGAAAAAATACAGATTTTGTGTATGACTAAGTTTTTACAGCTTCTTTTAGGTTCTTAGAGCCCTTTCTTCAGTTTTCAGCCAAAAGTTAAATTCTTCAACTTGAAGAAATGAATAATTATATAATTAAACACTTTGATTGGTTAAAAATATTGTCTGAACGTCTGGACATTGAGATGAAATGCACCTTTTATGTTATCGTATGCGTCATATGCTTCAGACTTAGCGTGTATCATGTTGTTGCATATGTTGACTTGAACTTCTAATATGTACTGAAACATCTAAATTAACGTTTAATAAGAAAACAAATACATATAATGTGTTTATATCTGAGACCATTACTTCAGCAAACCAAAATCTTGATGTTTTGTGTCCAAAATTATCTCAACACATAAATTGAAATTATTGGGCTCAAAATCAAAGAAATAAGCCGTTATTAGAATAATTTTTTTCTATTTTGTTATTTCGTATATCTGCAGATAATACACCCAGTTATTTTAAAATTAAATTTTAAAAAATTTTATTACAACCAATAACCTAATTCTAACACTATTTTATTTATTTCAATTTAATTAAGAGGACTCTTTAGGTGACAAGTTGCTTCCAAAAATCTTCCCATTGAATCTATTTCGTAATGTCCTGCGTTTATGTATTCATCGTCAATTTTAAGTCCATCTCTTCTTTCCAAATATAATTGTCCTATTGACTTCCCCAATGTATACGCATACTCTCCTCTTCGTAAAAATCCAATAGGGTTGCCATTCCTGTATACACCTTCCAAGCCCCATAGTGGTATATGCTCATCTAAAGTTAAGTAAATTAGTTTCTTTTTAACTCCAGTTTTTCTTTGTTCGTCAACAACTTTCTTTCCCCTGTATGGAATTTCTCGTTTACAAGTGAATGCTAAATTCGCCTCAACGGGCGTGTCATCTGGTCTTAAATCAAAACCCCATAAATGATAACCTTTCTCACTACTCAATGAATATAAAGCACGATAACCAGCATTTTTTAAACCAAATTGTTTTCCAATCCGCATTAAATATTTATAAATTTCTGAACAATAACTTTGAGGTATATGCAATTCAAAACCCAACTCTCCTACAAAGCTTACTCTTAGTATTTTTATTTTTAGTTTTCGTGTTCTTGTTTTGATGTTTCCAAAAATCCATGTATTTTTGGGGAAACATGAGTCTGAAATATCGGCATCTACAATTTTTTGTAGTATAGAAAGAGATTTCGGACCTTGGATTGATAAGATTCCAATATCTTCCGTAACATTGTGTAAAAAAGCTTTAAAATTTTTTTTCTTAATTTCCGAATCAAGAAAATGATATGTGTAATTTGCTGAAGCTCCTCCACAAACAATATATATACAATTTCCTTTCGTTTGGTTCTCGTTAAAATTTTTCGAAAAACTTTTAATTTTACAAAAAGTTAAATCAGCTTCCACACCTCCCTCGTCATTCAAAGCACATGTGTAGATTATCCTATAAATAAAAAAGTTTATTGAAAGTACTTAGATGTAGATATATATAGAATGTAGAAATGTGTACATATAGAATGTAGAATTTCGATAAACTTGAAATTGTTTCAGTAAAATAAAGTTGCGTTAAATATGTATATATTCAGTGTAATTTTTCTAAAATGCAATAAATTCATAATAATTTTGGAAAATTGAACAAATCAATAATCATGACAAATAACCCATTGAGGTTAAGCGAAAACTATACATAATCCATTCAAAGTAAAATTTTCGACAGAACAAAAAATATATTAGTTTCGCACACAGAGTTTATCTTAAACGAGTTTGAATGAATTATGTATAACATATAAAAAATTTTTCTATTTTTATTTCTTTTTAAAGAGTGAACGGAAAGGAAGATAAAATAACGTACGTAAAAAGAAACAAAAAAAATGAAATTATTAAAAAATTTTTTCTACTATTACTAAAAATGTGGTTTTTAATGATGTATATATTTCTTAAAATAAATATACATATATACAGAAATACATTCATTGAAAAATTAATAATCCTTGATTCCAGCTTAGCCGATATGATCCAAAAAAAATTAAATTAGAGATAGTATACAAATTAACTTACACTATATGTAAATTAAAAACTAAGCTTTAGTGTGAAAAAATAATATCATATTTACATCTTAAAAGCTAATAAAATTGTAAATTTTACGATTTGATAAAATGTTAATACATTGATTTGAAAATATTTAAAACCCGAATGAAAAAAATTAAAAAAAGTAAACAAATAAAAAAAACTAAATAACTTCTTTTTAAATACTATGTATTTTAGCTCAATATAAAATTTGTTATTTCCTTTTTGAACTTTGCTATACTATAAATATTATTCATATCTGACGTCAAGTCGTTATATAACTTCAAACAATGGCAATTAGACAATTATTTCTCTGATTGCTTGTATTGAACAGACTCCAATAAAAATTGGAGTTATTCCTTGTATTATAATTGTGAATGTTAAACATTCTATTTAGAATAAGATATGTTTGGGATCGATTGGGGAGCTCTATCCAAAGTGGGTTAAGGTATATTGTATTTGATAAGATGTAAGAACAAAAAATAGAAACAAGAAACAAGACATTGTTATTGATGCTCCTATTTTCGAAGCCCAGGATTTTAGTCCTGTTTTTATATTAATTAATAGATGATGTTTTTTAACTCATTCGTTTATTCATTTTAAGTCTTCCTGAATTGAAAATTTTAATTGTCGCTCATCGCTTTCTGCATATTTTGAAACGGCATTATAAAAAACTCAATTCAATAAAGTTCTTCTGTAGTTCTATAATATTCAATAAAATTCTTCTGTAGACAATTGGATCGTTAGATATATTACTTTTTTCTGTAACATTTATAAAGAAATCGTTTATGCCTTCAACTATACCACTAAGAAATTTATACAGGTTGTCTCATATATAAGTGCATTGCTATGTGCCAATACATAGACCCTTATTTTTATTCTTTGACATTTTAAGCGAAGCGTTAGTTTTCCACTATTCTCAAAATTCTCCATTTTTATTACGAAATAGATGGAAATAAGAGCAGTACAGGCACGAAAGAAACAAAGTATTGTAAACAAACGAGTGTATCAATATAATATAGAAAAATGAAATAAAATTAAATTTAGTGAGGTAATAATTTCATTACTTTTATACAAACAAAATTTATTTTCCATAATATTTTATTTCATAAAAGTTAGGGGAAAACATTCGAATATATGAAAGCGATAGATATTATAATTTCACATATTGTTATATTGTACATATACATACTAGAAGCCCCTAGTGCGAATCGCACTCAAGCCATATATATTCAATGTGATTGCAACAATATTAAGAAATGAATGTATATAAATGATTAATTCAAGAAATAAACGAAATAAGTAAAATTCGGATGGATATACATGTATAATTAAAAAAATATTTTTGGGTACATCACATTGCCTTTTACTGTATTGCCTTCAGCAAATTTCTCTTGCCTATTTTTACTTTTAATCCACTGGACTCTTTTGCCCTAGAAGCTGCTGGAAGACATACACAAACTTTTTCAAATGCTTGCCCCTGGACTTTATTAATTGTTATTACATACGCAAAAAATTGGTGTCTTACTAAACAAAAAGGCGGGGCTGGATCGTTAGAAGTGTCCAAAGAAATTCTATAACATAGAGTTAAAATGAGTGGCGCCTTTTTGTATTCCAGCAAAAATGCGTACTTTAATTAAATTTTTTTTTTGTGTCTGTTACAACCAATCTTGTCCCTTTGCATAAACCATTTTAATTCCTTTCGCATTAGCATTACAATAGAGCCTTTTTTTAATTTTAAAATGTGAAATGGAAGGTCGGGTGGATTTAAAAATTCTGTTGGGAAACCAACGTCTGAATTATTATTTTCAGTATCTTTATCACTTTTTATTGAATCTATAGAATAAAAGTTCACCTCTTGTCCAATAAGTTTATTTAGTACTGCTTCGTCTATTTGACGAACATCAATATTTTTGGGTCAAGGAATCGCGCTCTCAGATTTGGATTCTATATCGTTCGAAGTAAATTCTTCACCAAATATGTCATTTATTATATTTTCTGATAAATATTTGTTTGGAATATTTACTGAATATTGAGTTTTTTCCTTTTTAATCCAAAACGCATACACCGTCATCAATTAAAGGAAGCCACCTGGAAAATTTTTGATCGGTTTTTGCTCTTATGTATTCACAAAGTATTTTTTAAAGTGTCTCCAAAAGGGACGACTTTTGATTGAAGTGTTTACAGCAGTTGCGAAATTCCCACCTCGAACAACTGGAAGTACTTGTCGGAAATCCCCGCCTAAAATTATAAGTTTACTGCCAAAGGGAAACCATTTTTCAATAAATCGCGAAAAATCAGGGTAACTATTTCCAAAGCAATTGCGTGTGCCATAAGTGCTTTGTCCCATATCGAACAATCGAATGATGTCAGAAATTGTCTCTTTTTTTGATAACTGAGGAAACTTAGGAGTTCCAAGGTTTAACTGCAAAGAAAAGGCAGAGTGATAAGTCATGCCATGTGGTAGAAAATTAGCCGCAATACTTAACGTATTTTTATTATTTTGGGTGAGTTTTTGAATTAAAGCGTTGTATAAAAAAGTTTGTTCCGACAACAGATGACCAAATACTTAAAGCCGCTGTCAGTTGGGCATCGTTTAGGTTTTCCCAGAAATCATGAGCATCATTGTTAGAAATAGCAGCTGGTATTACAGTGAACTTGGCATAAACGAGTAGTTCGGAATTCGGTATTGGCTGTATAGAAAAGAGATCAAATCCTATATTTTCACATAAATGCCGAAGCGAAATTATACAATTTGTAAAAGCAGCATCTTCATTTAAGCGAAAATGAATAAAATTTTCCATCATATTATCTTTATAATCATTAAATAATTACAATGGATTTGCTGGGTTATTTCAATTGGGTCAAATGTTATCTATACCAAAAAATGTTACATACTTGCATTTATGAGATTGTTAAAAAATATTAGCAGAAATAATTTTAATATTACTACCTATTTATGTATTATTTGACAATTGTTTTTAAGAAAAAACTTTTAAATTCACTTTGTTTATTACCTACTTAACATATTTACATAAAAAAATAAAATTTTTATTCATTTTTCTTAAAAGTAGTAATATTTGATGAGAAAACCTATAAATCTTATCACTTCAATATCTATATTATATTTTACAAGATTTTTCCAGTTCATGAACAGGTATACATATAATCTAATAAATAACAAAAACAAAAAAATGAAAATAGCAAAAGAGAATACTGGGTAGAAGCATTACTCAATTGATTATACATACTGTAAAACAAAAACAAAAAATGAAAAGCGAAAAGCGAAAGAGAATAAAAAAAGGGTAGTAATATTTTTTTTGTTTTTTTGCTTTACTACCATAAACAAAAATAAAAAGCAAAAGGAAGCGAAATATTTTAAATGAGTTAAGTAAGAGTAAAATAATTTTTTGTTGTTGTATTTAACATGGAATGGAATTAAAAAAAATAAAACTAAAAATTATGAGAGATATAAGAACACGAATAATGTTACGTACTAAGGCAATTATTCTTCGTGTGCTTGCGAAATTTCAATTGAGTAAGTAGCCAAGCCAGGTCTGTATAAAGAAAAGAGGCATTGATTTTTTATTAATTCACATTCACTTTGGTTTTAAAGTTTAACGTGAAAGGTACTATTTCCAATTGCGGATTCTTTTCTTTTTAAAAAATGGATAACAAACAAATGATGGAAATATTTTAACAGATAACGTTGTTTATAAGGAAATTTTTCGTTCTTAATTGTTAACTAATTCTTAAATTGAATTTTAATCATATCTATGTAATTAACAGTGACACATATTACATCTTAAAATTTATTAAATTAAAAATATTTCCATTACTTTTATTTATCATTAGTATTCAAACCAATATGATATTTATGCATATACAAGTATATACCTGCATATGTATGCCATAATATGTACAAATTTTTCTAAACTTATTTTAAAATTGATTGCCACAATCCTGTTTTTACAACAGATAATGCTGCTTATAAGCAAACCACAGGGGCCCCTAGTACCTATGTATTTACCTAAATTATTTAATTTTCTTTTATTAGAGATTATATTACTTACTTATTTAAATTGTTAAAATCTTAATACTAATAGGTAATTGATTCAATTATATTTTCCACAGGCATTTTCCACAGAATAAAATTTAATGCTCTTACAAATTAAAAATACTTCGTTTAATGCTTGTGTCTAGTTATCCCGCGAAGTCATCAGTTTGTTCTTTTGTAAAATAAATATAGATATAGCTCTTACGTTTTCCTCTTCTCGTAGACTATTGCTTCTGCATCCTTCGACGTAGCACTTTCGGGGCATTTCTATTTATATGAAGGTAAACAAATTTACTAATTTGTTTTTATTTATATAAATCTATATTATATTTTACAAGATTTTTCCAGTTCATGAACAGGTATACATATAATCTAATAAATAACAAAAACAAAAAAATGAAAATAGCAAAAGAGAATACTGGGTAGAAGCATTACTCAATTGATTATACATACTGTAAAACAAAAACAAAAAATGAAAAGCGAAAAGCGAAAGAGAATAAAAAAAGGGTAGTAATATTTTTTTTGTTTTTTTGCTTTACTACCATAAACAAAAATAAAAAGCAAAAGGAAGCGAAATATTTTAAATGAGTTAAGTAAGAGTAAAATAATTTTTTGTTGTTGTATTTAACATGGAATGGAATTAAAAAAAATAAAACTAAAAATTATGAGAGATATAAGAACACGAATAATGTTACGTACTAAGGCAATTATTCTTCGTGTGCTTGCGAAATTTCAATTGAGTAAGTAGCCAAGCCAGGTCTGTATAAAGAAAAGAGGCATTGATTTTTTATTAATTCACATTCACTTTGGTTTTAAAGTTTAACGTGAAAGGTACTATTTCCAATTGCGGATTCTTTTCTTTTTAAAAAATGGATAACAAACAAATGATGGAAATATTTTAACAGATAACGTTGTTTATAAGGAAATTTTTCGTTCTTAATTGTTAACTAATTCTTAAATTGAATTTTAATCATATCTATGTAATTAACAGTGACACATATTACATCTTAAAATTTATTAAATTAAAAATATTTCCATTACTTTTATTTATCATTAGTATTCAAACCAATATGATATTTATGCATATACAAGTATATACCTGCATATGTATGCCATAATATGTACAAATTTTTCTAAACTTATTTTAAAATTGATTGCCACAATCCTGTTTTTACAACAGATAATGCTGCTTATAAGCAAACCACAGGGGCCCCTAGTACCTATGTATTTACCTAAATTATTTAATTTTCTTTTATTAGAGATTATATTACTTACTTATTTAAATTGTTAAAATCTTAATACTAATAGGTAATTGATTCAATTATATTTTCCACAGGCATTTTCCACAGAATAAAATTTAATGCTCTTACAAATTAAAAATACTTCGTTTAATGCTTGTGTCTAGTTATCCCGCGAAGTCATCAGTTTGTTCTTTTGTAAAATAAATATAGATATAGCTCTTACGTTTTCCTCTTCTCGTAGACTATTGCTTCTGCATCCTTCGACGTAGCACTTTCGGGGCATTTCTATTTATATGAAGGTAAACAAATTTACTAATTTGTTTTTATTTATATAAATTATAAATCTTCATTTTATTTAATAACACAAAAAATTAATGTGATTATTCACTAAATTTAAATTAAATTTTAAATATCAAATAAATTATTTTACTGCTCTGTGACGCAGCCTTCCCGTACGAAATTTAAATGTGGACTGCAGAAATTCTACAGCCTCATTTTTTGTACAACCACTAAAACCTTATTTTATAGACACCAACATAAAAATATTAACATGTTTTGTACATTATAGGAGTTTATGATATAATCCATTCTATATAGCTTCTTCAAGCGTACATACTTAAAGCATATTTTGTGTTTATATAAATTTTACTTGACTGGAAATCGGCTGCACTCAAATCAATTAAAAATTTTGCTTACATGACTTGAAATGTTAATAACTTTTGTAAATGTAATAGTTAAACTTTATTTTTGAATTTACAAGCAAAAACACAACTTGAGTTACCAGTTCGGCCAAGACTTTAAAAAGATAAGACAAGATTAAAATAATTATATTTATTGCGATATAAAATTACTTTTTTAATATTTTTTTGTCTTTTTAAAATTTATTTTTATTATTTGTGAAAATTTTTATAAAGTATAATATTTTTTTTACTTTAACGCTCAAATTTTTTTAATGTAATTAAAAGCTTAAAATGCTTTAATGCGCCTTTAAAAATGCATTATAAATAAAGTTGGGTCAAACCAATGGTTTGTATTGTAGCACTTTTCCCTTCAACAAGTGAAAATATTGCTTTGAAAAACAACCGATGTATACTTACCACACTATTAAAATTATTTTCATTCACATACGAGACAATTTCAATGATTGCATATATTTAGGATGAACAGTTTATGCAGTTTTTGAAATAAAGCAAAAATTAATTGAAAGAGGAGTTAACATAATGCTCGATTTTAAGGGTTAATTGCATGAGTTAGGAAAAATAATTATATTTTTTAATGTCATGGAATTAACAGTTAGCTTTCTGCGCTTATATGAATTTGAAAAAACTTGCGGTTTCGGAAATATAAGGCGTCATAATTCAAATTTTACAAATTTTAAAAGGCGATAACTTGAGAGGGGAGTGAGATAAAAAAACATTTTCTTGTAACGAAATTAACTATTTGTTAGTGCCTAAAAGCTACTAAAATTTCAGGCTTCCCCAACATGGCCTCTAGGAGAAAAACAACATCAAAAATTTGCAAAAAAAATGGATTTTACGTAACGGTAAATTTTAACGGCCATTTTGTTTTTTTAAAGTTCAAGTAATGTGAATAGATCTACTGCAGTGAATAGTTGAAAAATGGCAATTTTAGGATTTTTGGGGGGTATAACTTTTAGAGGGGGGGAGATAGGTAAAAATTATGTTTATTCTAATTTTGTTTCCAGTAAAGATCTATGTACATATAAAATTTTAGGTTTCTATCTTCAAGGGTGTAGAAAATTTGTGAACAGACACGGGCAGACGGAGAGACAAACACAGTGAAACTAATAAGCACTTTTTTCAAAAATTTTTTGGCAATCATATATTGCCTACACTTTCTACACAAATAATTCCTACGTGTATAAAAATTAAATTTTTGTAAGCTAAATATAATGTAAATTGTGAAACGGCTATCACTTTATTCGCAAAAACTTACTTGTTCTCCTTATTTTTGATACTAGAAGTGAAGAGCCATTCTGCAGCTTTTTCTGCATCGGGGCCTGTCAGGTACATTTTTCCAAAATAACTCATATTAAATACAACTGCATGTTTTCTACATGTTAGTGCTTCGTTTCGTATCTATAATAAAAAAAAACCTCACAGTTTATTTGAAAACTGTCATAGTTTTGTTTTATACTTACTATGTCATAGTGATCAGAAAACTGATATTTCAAATTTCCATTAAGATATTTTTCGTAAGTCGAGCTGTGGCATCTTAAAAAATTGTAGCTTCCGTACCAATCATAGTGTGAAACATCAGACCGTTTTCGCAAGAAAAATCCAGGTCGCTCCCATCCCTGTTTCTCCTCCATAAACGCATTATTTTCTAACCTATGTATATTCATATGCGTAGTTTTAAATAAAATTCAATACAATTACACATAATGTGAAATACTTGTATCTATATTGCGTATTTTCTTTATTATATTACACCAACTAAATACAATAGCGCGATTATTAAATACAAAAATTATTTCCTACTTTCCTAATAGATTAGGCATGTATATCATATAAATTATATAAAGATTGGCTGCAGAACTTATTAATTTTAGTGTTTTGCTTATAAGTTTAACGAGCCTGTTACGCAGCAGAAGCTATTACATACATATAGTATAATTTATTCTTAATATCGTTATAATTTAATTCTATTGTACATATATTTTCCGCAAAATAAATAAATTTAGTAGAGAAATGTAATTCGTGCGTGGAGGAAAGTATGTAACCCTCAAAATCCCAGTCAAAATTTTTTGGTTTTGACAAAAAGATGTACTGACTTAAATGGCTATAACTTCCACATTTATTAACTGATTTGAAAAAATTATTATGCAATAGAAAGCTGGAAAGTAACTCTTTATTTTACTGATTATAAGACAGCGCGTTATTTGAAGCGTGACTCAAAAACTTATAAGGAAATAAGTAAAAAAAAAGAAAAAAAATTTTTTGCCAAATTTTTCGCAAAGTGGCCAATTTCTAAAACATTTACTCTATTTAAATTTTTCTTTTGCATGCTTTGAAAAATTTTTAGTTGGTTTTCAAATTATTTCTTACAATTTTTCTTGCACGATACCCTGTTTTCATTTTAATTCGATTGAAAACTGGACGGTTTCCAGGAAAAATCGTTATTTTATTCTAGTTAAAAATTATACAAGTTAAATAAACTAAATCAAAGTCAGCGGGTACAAATAGGTTACATTAACAGGTGCAATTTATTTGTACCGGCTGTATTAGGTTCCGTGCTGATCTTTTGCAAGAGCCTATAAAAGTAAAAAAATTGTGAAAATAAAAGTTTAGTATTTACGTTTAAAAGCGTTTAGACATTTTTTAAATTATGAATTCTAGTGCATATCAGGAGCTATCATAGATATGAACTTCATTTTTGGATTTTTTAATGATGCGAGAGTTTAATTGTATGAGATTATTCAAGAAGATTTCCTGATTCAAGATGTTTTTAATATCCATTTAGCAATCCATTTAGAATGCAAGATACAGTTAATTAATCATTGATGAAATTTTACCGTTAACTCGACGCAACTCCAATGTTCATATAAGACTCATTGCATACCAAGTACGTGGCAACATAAAGTTTGTGTAATTTTAAATCGGTTACACTTCTGTTCATCCATTAAACTACTACCAACAGATATCCTTCGAAATGTTGAATTTTGTCGTTGTGTCCTTATAAACGGTGAAATCACACCAAACTATATGGATTCCTTATTTTGGACTGATAATGCACAATTTTCTAGAACTGGATTGACAAATTTCTACAATATACAAGAATGGAGTAACATACACAGTAGCAGAATGTCATCATCTCAAACACGATTCATAGCATTGGTTGGGATGATTGGCAACACTTTTGTTGGACCACATATATTTCCAGACATAGTTAGTGCCAAAAACTATCAGCAATTTTTAAATGAAATGTTTCAAATCATACTCTGTGAAATACCATTGGCTGTACGCAATACAGCAGTCCATCAACACGATTGCAACACGATAGCTCATTGCGGAAGAAATGTACAAAAGTTGTTAAATGAACGTTATCATGAAAAGTGGATCGGATGAAATAGGCCATTATCATGGCCAGCTCGAACTCCAGATTTAGATTTTTGCATCAGTAATTATTGACACCCAAAGTCATAGGTATTCCGCCATGTTTTGGATTGATGCTTTAACACCATTCAAACTCAATTGTGGTGAGTTTAATAAAATTTTGTTTCTGAAATTCACATGTACAGATTCAGTTAGCTTTTTTTTCCATGTATATTGTCTATTTTCTTATAGCGTTACTTGCTTCCTGGAACGTTTTTGTCGATTCTTCAACATTTGATTCAATATTGGTATATCGTCGTCGGCAAATGTAGACAAAGTTTTACCTTCTAAATTGGCAAGTCGCTTGTATAAAACAGGTATAATATAGAACCCAGAATACTACCTTGAGGCTCATCAGCCCTAATTTCCCTTAGTGTAAAGTACTCGTAGTCCTGTAGCATCTATTCATATATCTACATCTATCGATGTCTACATCTATCGATATCTACATAAAAGCCTGTCAGATAAGTATGATTCAAGTAAGTCCACGAATTGCAAAGGTATTAATTTCTTAAATTTTACAATATTTGTTCTTTCCACAATATTTGTTATTCTCTATACTTGGTCAATTGTTGCATGCTTTTTCTAGAACCAAACTGATATATGTACATCTATTGGAAATAAATGTGTATATAGACGTAGATATATGATCAGATTCGTAAAAGTATATATAGATGTGTAATAAAAGTGTGAATAGATGTAATAAATTATATTGATATATATAGACACCTATTGAAAAAAAATATAGACAGGATTTTATAAATGCTGCCAGTGTAACATTATTATCGTATCATTAGTCTAATATAATACAAAAGATAATAAACACAAAATTTGTGTATATGATACGATAGTGTTTTGTAATGTGATGATTTTGAGTCTTGCATAATATACCCTGTACACAAATGTGTTTATTTGTTTATAATAATTAAGTTCAATTAGTTCACAACCAGAGTGATTGACACAGCCCACATATTATGTACGTAAAAAGAAACTAAACAAAACAAAATTTTTTTTGTTTGCAGATGAAGGGCACGCAAAATTTTTGTACAACTACACGAAGACCGTTGTATAGAATCTTTTTGTAAGAATTGGCAATATACAATTTACTAATACATACATGTGGTGCTGTGTATTGAAAATTAAAAAATATATTCTTATATTAGGTATTTTTGAATAAATCAGAAATGTACATGGTGATTTGGGATGTTTGAAAAATAAAAACGATTAAATTCATGATATTTTAATTTTATTCACTAAATTTAAATTAAATTTAAACGGCAAGTAAATTATTTTACCGCTCAGCGACACAGACTTTCCGTACGAAATTTATATATGGACTAAAGAAATGCTATAGTCTCTACATGCTATAAAAATATTAACCTGAGTTGTACATTGTAGGAGTTTATGGTTAAGGCTTTGACTTTTTGTAATGTGCATAAAAAAAGTTATGTTATGCATATAAAAAAGTTAAAAATAAAAAAGATATGCATAAAATATTGTCTGTGTAAAATTCATATCGTTTGATACAAAAATAATCGTATTGAAAAAAATTAGAAATTAAATAAAATTAACAGCAGATGTTATGTATGGAGAAAATGTAAGACATAACAAAAATGATATATCCATAACTGACAAACTGAAAGTATTTAACAGCTGAAATAATGTTATGAGATTAGAAGCGAAAAGAAATGTATATGAATTTTTATGGGTAAGAAATGGTAGTATTTTAGTCAGGAACGAAGAGAGTGGCTATATTAAGTATAATTACTGTAAGTAAGCTTATCATTAAATGTGTTAAATAATAGTGCAAATAATGTTACAGCACATTTTCAAATTATAACTGGTTTAAATAACAATTTTTCATC